GAGCACTGGGGGAGAGGGAACACACACTCCTTCCCTTCTGAACCTGTGCTGCAGCCAGAGCTGACCCTCTGAGCCCCACAGCAGCCCCATGATCATTACATTACAGCTCTGCTACCATGTCACCCTGCACTGAAGTTTCTCACAGTTTCCCACTGTCACCAGGTTGGGGGCAAACACCCATGAACTGGCATTCAAAGTCTTCTCTCTGCCCCCTGCTCTGTTTCAGCCCAGGCCAGCCAGCTTTCTCCTGTACTCCTTGGTCCACAGCTCAGGTTGATCAGGGACCCTTCCAAATGTCCCCTTGGCTTGCAAGCATCCTGTGGCCTGGCCCTGGAACCTGTAGCTTCAGACCTGTCGTCCTCTCATGGTCTCATGTCTCCCTCAGAGCTTCATGGAGTCTGTGCCCATGTCCTAACCTCCATCTGGCCCTAGGCTCTGGGAGAGGCACATGGTGGGTGCTCTAGCTGTGTCTCTTTACTTCCCTGACATCCTCTGGGGTGAGAGGTTGTTTTGGTGGCTGTGGCTTGGGGTGGAGGAGGAGGAGGCAGATGTTGTCATGCAAGAGTGAGAGCAGATGGTGAATGGGCGCCCCATCACTTCATCCTGGCCAGGTTGTGGGGATGGCACTGCTGTCGAACAAGCAGACACACCCTCTGTCCACTCCCCAGCTGCCCCTGTAGCATCAAGGGAAGGAGCCAACCCACCTGGGCCCTGGGGGAGGGAAGGGATCCCTTCACAAGAGCCTGAACTTGGCTCATGCCAATGGGCTTCAACTCCTAACTCGGCATCTACTCCCCATGTGACTGAGCACTGTTGTAAGACCCTTGATTTCTGCCTCTAAAATGGGCTGTATTGCCTGATCTGATTCAGGTCACTCCTTTCTTCCCCTTTTCTGGAAAGGGGAGCAAATATGGCCATTTGGTACTGAGATGATAGTGCAGGAGGTATGGTAGTGGACTGAGTGGAAATTTAGGTTTTTCTTGGGCATTTGAGAGAATTGGGTTTTGTTCTAGAATTTATACCTATATGACCGCAGCTGCCACCAAGTCCATCTGGCAATAAATCTGAAAAATTGTGCCCTCCTCTGGGCTGAGGTAGCACTATGCTTGTGTCTACACTTAAGCTTTCTGTTGGCCAGGTGCCTTTGTGCACTGTACAACCGATGCAAACTGTACCAGCAGCCAAATATGCACCTTTGGGAAAGTCATATTTTCTTAGCTTCTTTGAGCCTCTGAACTTCAGTTTATCCGGCTATAAAATGGGTTGCACAGTTATTCCTTATGTATTCTGAGTTGTTGGGAGGTTCATATTCATCGTAATGTCAGTCTCAGGCTGTTGTGGGTTCCCATGGGTTCCCATAGGAAGCAGAGATTGTCACACCCTCTAAAATGAATTTACAGGTTTTAAAAGGTGGGGCTGTGAAGTATGAGCCACACCCCTTTCAAGGTCACACAGATCAGTATGTGTCTCCAGGCTCCCACCTGAGCTCTCTGTTCCAGGCCGTCCTGCTAAGGTCAACTGGACCTAGGAGGACCTAGCTTTAGTGGACCCAACTTTAATGGGCACATGGGAACCACAATGAGGTCACCCAAACATAGTCTTTGAACAACCTCTTGGTCCAAAAGAATGGGCCAGAGTACCCCCACAGTAGGTAGAGTCCCCAGCTTCCTGTCAGGGTGAGTCTGGTTTCCACAGCTGAAAAGCTCTCAGCCCAGGGAGGGGGTGGCGGCAGGGGGGAGAAATGACCCAAGCCTTGAATGCACATGTGAACAATAAAATAATAATTAAAAAAACAAACTCTCAGCCCAGAGCCCGGCACAACAAATCTCAGTAGGTTTTAGCTGTAGTTGTCACTATTACGATCATGACAAGTACTGCCACCTCCCTGACCCCATCATACTTGGCACCCACTGAATGCCAGCCAGGCCCTGTGTGAGCCCTGGGGCCTCAACAGCTCCTGTTCACACCCATTCACAGACTGGTGACAAGGCAGACTGAGAAGGTGTATGATGGGAGAGGAAATGGTCTTAACCTAGGTTGGCTGAAATTTGCAGTGGAGCTGTTATTGTCACCAATTTTCAGATGCAGAAACTAAGGTTCAGAAAGGCCACATGGCTTTTAAATGGTGGAACTGGCTTTTAAGCCAGGGATGCCTGGCTCCCAGACCTGAGCTCTGGCTCCAGGTTTGGTCCCTCCTTCCTAATCTGAGGCCTTTGGGATCTGGCTGAATGGTGAGCTCAGCAGCATCCTGATGGTTACCTTGAATGCTAGGCTGGCTGTCTGACTCTCCTTTGATGGTTTGGGGTAATTATTGGTGGTCTTCAGATGGTAGAGGTGGTGTGGCTTGGGAAGCTGTGCAAGTACAGGAGTTTAACAGAAGAGATGGTCTCAGGGTGTGGGGAATTCAAACAGCCTAAGAGCCTCAGAATGATGAGATGTGTGGGGTGCTTAAGACCAAGCCTCAGGATTCGGGGTGTGGGTCAGGGGCCCAGGAAGCCTGGGGTTCTGGGAAGACCCAAAGATGCAGCTTCTTGGCAGCATCAGTGCAGGCTGCTGAGGCTGTATGCCCCTGGAAGGAAGGTCAGGGTCCTGAACTCACAGCCCACACCAGACCAAGCAGGGGTGGTGCATGAGGGAAGAAGAGTGGGTTCCTTCCTATTTCCCAGGGCAGATGTCAGAGGTGGGGTTGGGATGTGCAGGACCCAAAGGGCCAAGGCCTAGGAGCCACTTCCTCTTTCCCACAGGGTGAAGTGATGTTACTCATGCAGTCCCAACCCCTCCATACCTTCCTCTTAGGCTAGGAGGTGTTGGGAGGAAGAGGCAGCATGAACCAAAGCCCCTCACGTTACCCCCCAACCCAGCCACACCTTGTGGGGGAGACTCAAGAACCATGATGAGTCAGCACACAGCAGCCCGCTCAGCCCCATCCTTAATGCCAAATCAAAGCCCAGCTTTAGCCTCATACGTCATCCCAGACCCAACCCTGGTCATAAACCCCACCCTACCACACCTCCACTTGAATTGAAAACTCAGCCATGGTCCCAGCTCCACAAGGAGCCCTAACCCAGGCCGAACCAACCTCCACATCCATTGGCTTCCAAATAAGCCAATCTTAACTGTCCCCCAGCCACCGCCCTTAGAGACTAGTCCCATCTCAACTCCATTCTAACCCTGACTCTACTTACTCAAACTCCCATCCAGGCTGCTCCCTCAAGGTCACTCTAATTCACCCTTAAGTCAGATCTGATGATGGTGCCCAGCCCAGTCCACCCAACCCTGTATCATCCCAGCACCCCCTTGGCTCCCTCCTGAGTAGAGCCGTGCTCCTCCTGCCCCTGCCAGGCATCCCCTTAGCTGCATCATTGCCTCACCTGAAACCCGGCCCCTCACACCTGCACCACGCATCCCTACCCTGCCCTCCCCTCACCAGTGCTCGTGCCCATTCTGCACTCAGCTAACGGAAGCCAGCATATGATGGATGACCTGCAGATGTAGACCTGCAGGTGGGCAGACAGACACACACACCTGGAGCATACACATACATACCTTGGCATACATGCATGCACACACCTCTGTATATACATACACCTGGCATACACAGACACACACCTCAACATACCCAAAAGTACACATCTCAGCACATACACACATACACACATCCCTTGGCGTATATACTCTTCAGCATACATGTGCATACACAGCATATACACAAATGTACACACACACACGCTCTGTACATACAAACATACTTCAGCACACACATACATATACTTCAGCATGCATACAGATACCCTTCATGTACACATGGATACACCCTTCAGGGTACATACATAGACACCTTGACATACATACAACACACACCTCTGCACCTCTGTGTATATCGCAGTGTACACAGGCATCTGTACACACACATCAACGAGGGGACAGACTCTAGCTCTGAGGATAGTGTGGGAGGACTACTTCATGCTCCTGGCCCTTTGTAGTTCCCTTCTTGTCAGGCTCTGCTACCTCTAGTCCCTTCTTCCATATTGCCCAAGGGAGCTGCCTGTCCCAGCTGTCAGGCATCTGGCCATGTTTGTGGAGCAGCAAGATGGAAATATCCTTTCTCCTGCATCCTGGGTCCCACGCAGCACAGATCACTGGTGGCCATGCATTGTGCTGGGGCACACTCCGTCCCAAAGTGGGGCAGATTGGAGGGGCACAGCCCATACCATGTAATCCCACTCAAAGGCCTGTGGGAGGGCCTGTCACACTAGGTCTGCAGGACTGAAAGGAAGGAGAGGCCAACATAGGATAAGGACAGGCCATGGCTCAGACAGCCATGTGGCTCCCAGAGGGGCCAGTGGAGACCAAGGGCTTCTGCGGATGGAAATAAAACCGAAGAACTTGTATGCAGGGCTCTGGGCTAAACCCTTGAAAACTGCATTTAACTCTCAGAACAACAGCACCTGCTCCATGGGAAAGGTATTAGCATTGATCCCCACAGAGGACACAGGAACAATGAGACTTGGAAACCAGTTGCCCAAGTCACATGCATCAAAATGGGGCAGTAGGTGAGATTTGAACACAGGTCTGGGAGTGGTAGAGCTGAGTCCCTCCCTGAAGTCACTATAGCTGAGCCCAGAACCTGCCTTCTGTGTCATTCTGTATCCCTCTCCCAGGCTGACTTACTCATATTTCCCTGAATATTCCAAGTAGTTTCACCACCTGGCTATCCGTAATGGAACACTTCAGCCTTTCACCCTGCCCTCCTCAGAAGAAATGTCCTCCATTCTCCAGCCTTAGTGCTGGCACCACCTCCTTGGGAAGACCTTCCTGGGCACCCTGCCTAGTGGCCAGATGGCCCCTCCACGCCCCCTCACCCCCACTCTAATTGCCCTGTGCTGTCACTATCATCAGTGTCCCTGGCAAGGTCTGGGCCTCCCTCCTCAAGGACAGGGCTGGGTCTGCAGAGCAAGGCCCTGAGTGTATGCTGACCCAGCCCAGCTGTGGGTCAAAGTGGTGCCCAGGGAGGGGCTGGGGCTCTTCCAAGCTCGGCTGATCTCTTATCTCCCAGGGCTTTGCCTTATCTGATGAGGCCTGACAGGCAGCAGATGAGCCACTGACAAGTCCTAAAGTTACTGAGTAACCCTGGCCTCTTTAAAAGCCCCACTGTTTGCCCCTGACATTCAGCACCTGTCAGTCCTGTCTGCTGGGCACTGCTGCCATGAACACCTTCCTGCTTTCCACGCTGTGCCTCCTGGGGGCCTGGGCAGCCCTGGCAAAGGGCGTCACCGTGCAGGTATGTCTCTATTTCTACCTGGCTCAGCCTTCTCCCTGAAGAGAGCTCGCCATCTTTGGGCTGGAGTGAGGAGTGGTTTGAGGCTTGGGCTTCCTTGTCAGTACTGCCAGCCATGCACACCTTTCCCTTCAAACTTGAAGGAGAGAGGACCAAGGTAGACAGGAGAGAAATATCCATTGCAAAATGGGGACCACAGAGTGGTCCCTGCTCTCCCTCCCTCATCTGTCACTGCAGCCCACCAGCACCTTGGGAGCAGGGCGCTGTTAGCTTCATTTTCCAAAGGAAGGAACTGGTCCTCAGAGTTTTACAACTGGTCATGGGCATACAGCTGCGAAGTGCTCAGTGTGAGCATGGGTCTGGGTTCCAGGAATCACATGGACATCCTGGAGGCCCTGATGGATGGGGGTGCCTACCCAGGTGATACCAGCCACAGACCAGGCTGGCACCCAGTAGAGGTCCTGCCCTCTCAAGAGGCCCCTGGAGGCCTTTTATTGTTTCTCACACAAAAACCAGGCCATAGACTGGAGGTCGGGGCCAGTGCCCAGCTATATACACTCTCAGGCAGAGGGAAGGCAGCCTGGGCAGGCCATGTAGAGTTAGGATGCCTGGATCCTGGCCTCTGCACCTCTCCCTCAGAGTTAGTACACTAGCTCCTTCTGTGTCCTTGGAGCTCCACATCCATTTCTCCATTCCTCAGGTGACACTGCAGAGCCTAAGGTCTCCAGTATGCCCAGGGTCACAGGCAAAGCCAGGAGGGCAGGCTACCTCAGGGGAGCGTCGTCTTCCCGTGTACACACTGTTCTGCGTGCCACCCAGGCTGGGGTCCACAGTGCTGGGGGACGCAAGCAGCTGCAGCCTGGTCTCATGCTCTGACTGTCTCTTTCAGGATGGAGATTTCTCCTTTCCTCTGGAGTCAGTGAAGAAGCTTAAGGACCTCCAGGAACTCCCGGAGTCCAAGGTTGGGAGCCTCAGGAAGCTTGCGCCCGTGCTTTCTGAGCCTGGGGCTCCCCGGCAATGCGGCTCCCCAGCGTTTCCGGAAGCACTCAAGCCGCTCTGCGAAGAGCCCAACGCCGAGGAGATCCTGCAGAGGCTGGGTGAGCCGCCTACTCTCCACGAGCGGGGCTGGGAGAATTCTCTGATTGGTGGCTTTTGAGGAAGAGATGTGCTCTGATTGGAGGAGGGACTCGGCTCTGATTGGCGGGTCTTTTAAGCACGCTGTTTCAGTTCTAATTGATAACTGGTAATTGGTAATTGGTAACTTGCCAATTGCTGTGAGGATGGATTGATAGGGAGCATGCACCCCATCCTTTGGTCTTAGCTGTGTCTCCTTTCTGGATAGAAGCTCTGCTCTGATTGGCCGTCTACAGTGGTCCATGTGCTGATGTTTGGGGTGGAAAACCCTGTGGGTCAAAAAGAACAGGCCTGCTGGCATTCTCCAGGAGGCTGGATGGTGGTTGTACAAGCTCTGTTTGAAGGAAGGCCAGGGGGTTGGAGGGATGAGAAACTGGTTCTCACCAGGCCCCATCTTTCCTGTCCAGAGGCCATCGCTCACGACCCGAGCACCTGTGAGATCTGTGCCTATGCTGCCTGTACCGGATGCTAGGGCAGCATCGCTGGCTGCCTTCTTCCCCAACACGCAGGAAGCCCTTTCTTCTGCTGGAAGGGTGGCCTGTGATACCCCCACTTCTAGCCGCTGGGGGCTGGGAGGAGTGAGGAGAAGGCAGCCCAGAGAGGACCCACCCCTAGACCTGGCCTCCCAAGATCCACGCCAGCCCCCAGCTAATAAATCAGATTCAAGTACTCCTGGTGTTGCCTTTGTTCCTTTATCCTTCCATCAGTTCCACTTCATGGATGCCTATCCTGCTCTGGGAAACTGGTCACCAAAGTCACTAAGCCACGTGTGAACTGGTTTGGATGTCCAATACAGACACTTGGTCCACTGTGAGATCAGTGTCAAGTTCTTTTTTCAAGGCGCCCTGAATCTGGCTCCCTCTAACCAGCTAGGGTTGCCTCCTGCCTTCCCTCATGATCTCATCCCAAGCCACATCTCTCCCAATTTCCCCTGCTGCTGTTCACCTGTGCACTGGCCTTCTTTCTGCATTCCTGGCCACTAAACTACTCCGGCTCCAAGGCCTCTCCACAAGGCATTTTCCTGACCACTTCCCTAGAACGTCCTCGTGCTCTCACCTTATTCTATGTTTTTCCTGGGTATTTTGCTCACCCACATCCTTTGCACAGCTCTTGCCACCATGTTGTGTAATAGTTTCTGTGCATGGGGAAGTCTGTCTGCTCCCAGACAGGGGAAGACTTACCTTATGTTGTTTATACAAGGATATAACAGGGCAGCGGGTAAAGCTAGGCCTACATGCCCCCCCAGCCCCCCGGGCTCCATCCTCAAAATCACTTTCCCTCTTTGTGTTTAAGTCTCCTTCTCTGTAAAGCTGGGACACTGATCATGCCTGCCTCCAGGCTGGGTGAAATAATGCACTTAAAGTTGTCAGTTCAGGTGTGACACAAACATAAGAGGAATTCAATAAATGGTAAAAACAAACAATCCAAAGAAAGGTGGTACAAGGGTCAGGCTGATAATGGTTCAGACAGGGATGAGGAGGTGTGTGGAAATGAGGCTAGTAGGCAAAGGTAAAGGGAACAAGGAAAGAAGAGGCAGCCCAGGTCCTTCTTGGGGGTGAGGTGGAGGGGAAATGCCATAGGGGATTCATGCAGGATTCCCATGGGCTATGGGAATTCAGAGGATGGCCTCTCTTCTGGTTGAGGTAAAAAAAGTATGAAGGAGGAGGGGTAGTATATTTTCATTAGCCCTTGGGATTTTCATTGGAATGGATGGATCTCATGTAAAGTAGGGAGGAAGAGAAACTTCCAGAAGATAGAGATAGTGAGAACACCTGGTGGGGTACCAGGATAGTTCAGTGAACAGTGTGGAGCCTGGGAGACAGACAGGACTGGATTTGAGACTGGCCATGTTTTTCACAAGCTATGTGCTCCTCTCTGAGACTTGATTTCCTTATCTAGAAATGGGGATGATAACAGATCCTGCTTCCCAGGCTGATGGAAGACTTGATGAGATGTGTGGTGGGTATAATCATTTGACACTTGAACTCTGGAGCCAGTCTCTGACAATGAATTCTGGCTCTGCCTTTACAGCTATGTGCTTCTGGAAAGGTTTCTCCTCACTTTCATTGTCTGTGAAATGGAGATAAGAATACTACTTTGTAGAGTCCAGTGAAGATTAAATGAGATAATACTGGGAAAATTCTTAAAGCTCCACCATTCCTGAACAAACAGTGCATCAGAGAAGAAATTAGATGGAACACTGAAAGTTATCTTTAAACACATGAAAATGGAAACACAACATACCAAGCATATGAGACACAGAAGAAAGTTTGGAAATAAGCAACCTAATATTATTCCTCAAGGAACTAGAAAAAGAATAAACTAAGTCCAAAGTTAGTAGAAGGAAGGAAATAATAAAAAATCAGAGCAAGAATAAATGAAATAAGACTAGAAAAACAATGGGAGAGATTAACAAAACTAAGAGTTGTACTTAAAAAAAATAAACAAAATTAACAAACCTTTAGCTAGACTGAGAAAAGAAATAGAAGATTAAATAAAAACATTGAACGTTTCTTCTAAGATTAGGAACAAGACAAGGATGACCTAGGCTTGCTACTTCTATTCAACCTCATACTGAAAATTAGGCAAGAAAAATAAATAAAATAAAGGTATCCAACTCAGAAAGGAAGAAGTCTAGTTGTCTCTGTTTGCAGATGACATGATCTTATATACAGATGACTTCATAAAGATTCTACCCAAAAAGTTATTAGAATGAACAAATCTAGTAATGCTGCAGGATATAAAATTTACATACAAAAATCAGTAGCATTTCTATACACTAACAATGGATGATGCAAATAAAAAACAAATAAGGAAGTCCCAGTTATTATAGCCACACCAATAATAATAACAATTTAGGATTTTTTTCTTTTTATTTTTTTGTAGTTCTGGGGCTTGAACTCAGGGCCACATGCTTGCTAGATAGGCTCTCTACCACTTGAGCCACTCCACCAGTCCTTTTTTAAGTTAGTAATTTTGAGATAGGGTCTCTTGAACTATTTTCCTGAGCTGGCCTCAAAACTTGATCCTCCTTATCTCTGCCTCCTGAGAAGCCAGTATTATAGGCATAAGCCACCAGCACTTGGTATAGGAATAATTTTTTTTAAAAAGGAGGCAGAAGAACTGTACACTGAAAAAAATGACGTATTGATGAAAGAAATTGAAGACAGATAAAAGGAAAGCTATCCCATGTTCATAGATTGAAAGAACAGCATCATTAAAATGTCGGTACTATCCAAGTACATTACAGGTTCAATGTAATCCTTATCAAAAGTCTAAAGACATTTTTCACAGAAATAGAAAAAGCATTCTAAAAATCATGTGGTTCCATAAAAGACCCAAATAGCCGTAGATATCTTAAGCAAAAGAACAAAGCTGTAGGTACTGAAAGCTTTTCCTTTCATTATTACCTCATTTCAAAATCTACTACAAAGCTAAAGTAATCAGAACAGCATGCTACTCACTCTCTCTCTTTCTCTCTCTCTCTCTCTCTCTCTCTCTCACACACACACACACACGAAAGAAACCAATAGAACAGACTAGAGAACCTAGAAATAAATTCATAAGTGATCTTTAACAAAAGTGCCAAAATCATACAACAAGGAAAGAGCAGACTTCAAGAAACGGTGACAGAAAAACTGGATATTTACATGCAGAAGAATGGAATCAGACCTCCTCTCCCCATTTAAAAAAAACAACAATAACCTCAAAATGGACTGCAGAACTACTGAAAGAAATGATATGGGTAGATTTTGTGGCACTGATCTTGGCAAAGCTTTCTTGGATATGAGCCTCCAAAACAGAGGTGAGGTAACAAAAATAAGCAAATGGATCACATCAAACTAAAAAGCTACTACACAGAGAAGGAAATAATCAAGAGAATAAAGAGATCACCTATGGAATGGGAAAAAAACATGTGAACCATACGTGATGATGGTTGAATATCTAAAATATGTAAGAACTCAAACAATTCAGTAGCAAAAATCCAAATAACCCGACTTAAAAATGGGTAAAGGACCTGAGAAGATGTTTCTTAAAAGAAGACATGGAAATGACCAACAGATATATACTCACCATCACTAATCACTCTGGAAATGATGACTGGCACCCCACACCCTGTGTACTGTTGGTGGGAATGTAAATTAGTACAGCCATTATGGAAGACATTATGGAGGCCCTTCCTCTAATGAAAATTAGAACCACGATATGATCCAGCAATTCCACTTTTGGGGTTGTATCCAAAGGATATGAAATTAGTATGTTAAAAAGCTATCTGCACTGCCGTGCTAACTGCAATGTTATTTACAATGCCCAAGATATGGAATGAAGAAAATATGCTACATATACACAATGGAACCTTTAAAAAGAAAGGAATCCTGTCATCTCTGACAAAGCAGATGAACCTGAAGGACTTTGTGCTAAGTGAAATCAGCCAGGCACAGGCACAGAAAGATATTGTATGACCTCACTTTCAGGTGGATTCCAAAAACATTCAAGCCATACATGCAGAGAGTAGAAGGTGGTTCCAGGGACTGGTAGTGGGGGAGAAAGTGGAGAGATGGAAAGAAGGAGGACAAGGAAAAGAAGAAGAGGAGATGGAAGAGGAGAAAGAAAAAGCTCCCTTGAGCACTTTGTGGATGCCACTGTTCCATTGCTTCTAGACAATAGCACAGCCTTGTGGCTGCAAGCGGTTGGTGCTCTGCCAGTGGCAGTTCCCTTTGCTATCTCCAACAGGAGGGTGGGAACACATTGTAGCTGTAGGGGGCAGTGGGAGATGCATCCAGGCAGGCTCATGTTAGAGTTGAGAAGTGGCACTGGGGAACCACAGCAGGGTAAGTAAGGGACCCTGTCAAAGCATTGCTACCATGTTCCTCTGGCTTGGAGTACCTACACGATACAAGGCCATGAAGGAAACTCTTGTGTGGCCCCAGAAATTGTAGAGGGTGAGAAGTAGGGGCCCAGAGAGCTGCAGCAGGCTTTGCAAAGGGTCCCAGCCAGCCTCATCCCTGGGGAAGGGAAAGGAAGAGGCCAGAGCTCCCAGAGGCTGGGACTCGTGAGCAGAACTGGGAAGTCAGGTTGGGCAGTTGTCTGGGGATTCTTCATGGCCTTGGGGAGCTTTCAGAGAGTGCAGAACCTTTGCACCCTGTTTTCCTCCTCTCTGCCTTCCCAGGATAAAGGCTGATGAGGAGCCTGCTCTGTGGAAAGTCCCTACTACAGGGAATTCCCAGGATGGCTCCTGGCTTGAATTAAGCCAACTCACTGAAGGCCACTGTGAGGATGCCGTGGCTGCACTGGACCCTGTCTTCAGGGTCTCTGACATGAAAAGGCAGTGACAGGGTGGTCAGGGTACTGCTTCCTTTCTGTCTGGACTTCTGGAGACTTCTGGGAAGAACTTGCTTAGACACTTTGCCAAGTGTGTGGTCCTAGGCTAGGTTTTTCTCTTTGGGGATGGGCTCTCCATTTTTTAAAAGCAGATGGGAATAATATCACATTCATCAGGCTGTTGGGAGGGAGGACTTGGTGAGTTATCTGTGCCAAGTGTTTAGGATGGGGGGTAGGGGTAGGCTACAGCAAACGCTCAAGAAAGGTCAGCTGTGTTTAAAACTCCCCAGGGTCACTAGACTGGGGAGAGAGGGGGTGATCTCTAAGTTGGAGCCAGAAGCTCAAGGATAAAGGGTAAACAGATGGGGCAGAGTCAGCCTGGGGACCCACGAGTCTGGGCTGCTCTGCAGCTTGGGGTTCCTACCACCTGAGCCTTGTTCCTAATGTAGGAAATGGGGTGCAGTGAACCAGCTCCTCAGGATTCAGAAACTTCAGGAAAATTCCTACCTGTTATTCTCTCAGCCCACCCATCCTCCCAAGATACCCTGCCCACGGCTCCTGAGAATGGACAAGAGGACACTGGACTCTGGGTAGAAGCTTTATTCAGGAGCACAGCTGCATTGGGGTCAGACATTCCTCCAACCTTGTGTATCATTGCCTCATCCCAGATCCAGCTACCCTGGGGATAGGGGTTGATGATTCCGGCAGTCAGGAGCCTCTGCCTGATGCTGGATTGGGTAGAGGGCTACACAGGCAGTGGGCTGGGGGCCAGGTTGAGGGTGGGCTCAGGGCCATCTCAGCAGCCGGTACAGGCGACGTTCACACACAGCTCACAGATGTCAAAAGTGATGGTCTCTGGGTGGGAGAAGGCCAGTCAGATGAACCTGAACCTGGGAAGTCTGTGGTTGCAGGGAGACTGACCAGGCCACAGAGGGGCTGTCCAGGAGAGGGCCAGGCGTCTTCCTTACAGGTGAGGGGCAGGAAGCCTTGGACTCAGAGTGAAGGGCCTAAGTTCCCCTCCTAAGTGCTGTCCTTCCTAGCAGAGTCTGGGCAAGGCATTTTTGCTCTGTGCTAGGTGGGCACAGGAGGAGGGACAGACACAGACAGGGCCCACATAGAGCAGGGCTCAGCAAATGCATGCTGGTCACTGCATTCTGCTGCCATGGCTCTGTTGCATCCTTTGACTTGAGCTCAACTGTCACCTCCCCTTGGAAACCATTTGGACCCTCATCCCATTAGATGGAGGGTGGGGGATGTAAGCTGGTCTCCTCTGTGTTACTGTGTGCTCACTGTCTGTTTATTGGGTTGTTCCTTGTGCTCCCTTCTCTCCTACCTGTGGAGTATTTGAAGGACTCCCAAGGACTAAAGGGGTTCCCAGCACTGTGCCCAAACTGAGGTAGTTCTGAGGAGAGGAGGGGCTGGGATTCTGCAACCTCCCTGTCTGTAGTCACTGAGTGCTTAACAGTGAGGGAATAGGAAGAGGGGTATGAGCACTTACTCAAAGCCTTGAAGACGCCGTCGGCTTCCTGAGAGGCACAGATGGGCTTTAAGTCCAGGGGTAGCTCTGGGTAGTGGCATACAGAGGGCAGGAGACTCTGGGCCTGCAGGTCTGTGCTAAGCACTTGCCTCCCCTCTAGGTCACTCAGTTTCTTCACTGATTCCAGCTGGACCTGGAAGCCTTGGTACTAGGGAGAGGAGAGGAGATGGGAGGTTGTCAGACCCTGGGCCAGGAACAAGCATTGCCACAAGACCTGGGGGTCACTGGACTCCATAGATCCTCTGGACCCCTCCCTGTCCTCATGGAAAGTCCAGGTCATGCAAGGGAGAGTGACCTGTGGGAGGGAGGTGGTGTCCCATCTCCTCCCCCCAGCACCCTTTGCAGCCCACTATGCCACAGGTTGTAAGGAGCTGGAGAGAAAATTCATACAAGGTTGTGCAGGACAAAGCATGGGCATTAGAGACAGGTGGGCCCTGGTTCGAATCCCAGCTCTTCCCTGACTCTCCCTGACTCCTCCTATCTCCTCCCCATTTGAGCCTCAGCTCCACCATCTGACATTCCTGTGTGGGGGCCTGGTAAAGGGTACACTGGCCAACTGGCTGTGCTTCCTGAACTGGCATGGTAGAGTGACAGCAGCTCCAAGCTGGCTGGGCTGCCTCTCAACCTTTCTGTGGACCTCTTCATTCTTCCCCAGGAGACCCTGCAGATAGTTCTGGGATGCAATGCCAGGGACACAGATGTCCCCTCTGGGTTCAGGGAGGCTGGTGGCATCCTGTCACATGTGGGCAGGCCCTACTTCCAGGGTTCCTTCCTGCCTCATGTCCCCTGGAAAGACACTGGGGCTCCTGCTGCCTTCTTTCTGGGCCTTTGTGTATATGCTGTTCCCTTTGCCTGGACTAGGTTCCCCTGGGCCTGGCACCTCCAGCTCATTCTTAATTGTTGCCTGCCAGGGAAATTGTTCTGTGACTACTTCTCCCCTATGTGTGGATGAACACAGAGATTGGAACATAAAAGGACTCCTCCCCTCTGGGCTCCTCCAGGTCAGGGCTCACATCTTGTTTCACACTCTGACCCCTGTGACAGGTGCTGATCTTTGAGAGTAGGTCATCCTCATCATCTCCATCATTGTGGCCATCGACAGTCCTGTTGCCTTCACCCACCAGCTGTCTTAGACTTGAGCTGTGACTGGGTGTTGCCCTGGACTCTGCAGGTGAAGGGCAGGCTGGCCTTAGGAACTTACTTTGATGTAGACTGACTGTGTGCTCTGCAGCAGCAACAGGAGGACAATGGTTGTCCCCCACAGGTGTCCTGACATAGTCCCCCTGCCCATCTTACTTTCTGTGTTCCTGCTGCCTCTGTCCACCCGGCTCCCACCTGCTTTCCAGCCAGCATCTCCTTATAGTCCATGTTCCAGAGCCCTGGTCACTCATTAACTGGCCAGCTTGGGTGGGGTTGACAGAAGTCTGGCCTTCTGACAAGCTCGGAGCTGGTTCCCAGGAAAGGTATTGAGGGTGATGAGGATGGGCAGCCCAGCACATGGGAACATGGTAGTGGTCTGTCAAGTGTCTGCTATGTGCAGGGCTCTATGCAAAGGGTGTGGACCCTGCATTTTCTGTTCTCTCCACAACTCCTGCAGGAGTGGAAAGACAGGGAGAACGTTTTACAGACAGGGAAAGTGAAGCTCACCAGGTAAAGTGACTTGCTGTGCAAAGCAGGGACTCCATCCAGGCATTTTTGGCCCAGGTCAGCCCATGGTTCTTCTTCTGGTGAAAGATGCAGACAGACAGGCTAGGGCAAGGTGGACAGACACAGGACTAAAGTCAGCCTTCTCCAGCACCAACTCCTCCAGACCACCATTCTTGAAACTTTCCCCCCTCCCAATCCTATTGGAAGACCATCCTTCTGACAAGTCTTTGGTCAGTCCTGGAAAGAGAGTGACCTGTGTTCAAATACTAGTCTTGCTGTGGCTCTGTGATCTTGGACAAGTCACATAAAGTCCGACTGAGAAGTCTGAAAAATGAAGGTTTTTCTTTTCCATCACATGAGCATAACAGAACCCACAGACTAAGTTTGCCACGGATGTGATGGGGCTCCAGCCCCGCTGAGCTCATCTCCTGGGTAATGTGTCTGTAGGGGCTCCCTCCATCTCACAGACGCCTTCTAGGCAATGCACAGCCCACCTTCTCAGTGGTTAAGTTCAGGTGAGAGAGAAGAGGGCAAAGTCTATAAGATGGTATCACCATAGCCATGTCACCTGTCTGTAAACAAAGCCCATGCCACAGCCCAGCTGTCAGGCACAGAACCCAGCATGTGAAGCCTCCATAGCCCATCCGGCATCTAAGGTGACACTCTGACTTTGATGTCACCATGATTCATTGCACCTGCCCTGCCCACATGGACTTAATCCCATTTCATGTTTTCCCAGATCTCTCTCTCTCTCTCTCTCTCTCTTATCTGTTACTGAGCTGAAAAAAAAAAAGTTCAAGTGGACTTCGGATTTTCTATGACTTCTACCAGACTTCAGCCTTTACTCCTTGGATTATGAAGATATCAGTGGAGTGGACTCTTTCATACCTCTCGTCTATAGGCAAATAATCATCACATAACACTAGCTCTCGTTTCTTGAATACTATCTACTGGCACAGGGTGGACTCAATGCCATTCTGTCCAGTACTGGGCTTGACTGACTATATGACCTCAGGCAGGTGATACAGCCTCGGTGGCCTCACTTTCTCATTTGTGAAAAGATGACTGATCTCTAGGATTGGAAGTTGTCATGAGGCCACTTGAGGCCCACAACTCTGCTCTTTCTACTACAGCCAGTTGAGCCCATTGCCTCCCAGGTCAAGGGACGAGGAGTAAACCTGAGGGGTTTGGAGCCTTGTGGCTGTGGCCTCCTTCACTTCTTCCTCTCTGGGCTCTCCAGCAGGGCCCCTCATGCATCAGTTTGCCCTGGAGACAGGTGTGGCTTCCTCAACTGTCAGACAGGACTCCAATTTTTCCAACCTATCTCCTAATCTCCTGGGAGTGTCCCACCATCCATCAAAACCAACTGACCACCAGTGCAAATCCCAGATGCCACCCCTGGAACATCCCACTTACGTCAGTGGGTTTTACCAGGGTACTTCCTTCTTCAGGGATGTGGGAAGAGGCTGTCAGGTTGTCTGTGGAAGTCTCACAGGTGGGTGATGGCTTGCCCCTGTGTGCCTCTGGGTGTCATTCTTGATCACTCCTTTCTTTTATTTGCCCAATTCATGGGCAGATTCACTTAGCTCTACCTTCGAAATATTTCTAGATTCCAATCAACCATGTCTCACCTTCTCCACCATGGTCCAAGCTCTCACCATTGGGCTCATGGATGATTCAAAGGCCTTGTATGAGGCAGAGTTCTCCAGAGAAGCAGAGTCAACAGGATTTATCTATCTATCTATCCATCTATCCATCTATCTATCTATCTATCTGTCTGTCTGTCTATCTATCTATCTTCTGTCCATCCATCATCTATCTACCTAGTTGTCAATCTTCTATCTAGATTTACTTGAAGGATCTGGCTCATGTGATCAACAGGGCTGGCACATGTGAAATTTCTAGGACAGGCTGACAGGCTGGACATTCAGGCAAGAGTTGATATTTCATTCTATTGTGAATTTTTATGATTTTAAATGTATGCTGGACTTTCTCACACCAGAGGTAGGGCTGAGTCATCCTTGACCCAGTTTCTAGTTTTATTCTTCCCCCACCCAGTTCCTCAATGTGATCGATCCAGGTATCTGCCTTAAATAACTGCTCCCTGGTGAGCACTTCCCTAGGAGACAGATAGATACGTCTGCTTGATTGTTTCCCCTGACCCTCGCCCCCTGCACAGACTGGTCAGATATGTCATAGTAATCATTTTGCAATCACAGAGTAACCTTTTGGAACTTACACTTGCTTGCTCTAAACCCATCAATTAAAACTCTCAACTGGACATGATGGTGCAGCTCAGGAATCCCAGCTACTTGGAAAGCAGAGGCAGGAGGATTGAAGTTCAGGCCAGCCTGGGCGAAGTTAGGAAGACCCTATCTCAAAAATACAATACAAACAAAAGGGCTGAGGATGTGGTTCCGGTGGTCGAGTGCTTGCCGAAGCCCTGGGTTCAATCCCCAGTATCACCAAGCAAAAAGAAAGAAACAAACAAAACAACAACAGCAAAAACCAGCACCTCCTGTTTGGATCTGGACCTGATGAAGACATTGGCCCCCTGGTGTCCCTCTCCCTCCCCTTGGGCAACCTGAGTTCCATACATGTGGCCTCTTGGAGTGCCATGTACCCCCCTTCTCTGGACCTGTAAGTAATAAAATCTTTATTTCTATCTTGTGCTTCTTCTCCATTTTAAAGATCCTACATTAAACTTAGATTTGAGTCTGAAATCTGTAGGGCAGGGCAATGTGGGAAACTTAGGCAGAGTTTCTTTTTTCTTGAGACAGAATTCCTCCTTTGAGAAACCTTAGTCTTTGCCCTTAAGACTTTCAACTGACTGGATGAGGCCCACCCACATATTATGGAGAGCAATCTGCTTTATTCCAAGCCTATTGATTATAGATATTAATAACATCTAAAAAGATACTTTCATAGCAACATCTAGATTGGTGTTTGACCAAACAAGTCAAGCCTGGCCAAGTTGACGCATAAAATTAACCATCATAAGCATCCAAAGAGATTTCCCTGTACCTACCCATGCCCCTCCTCAGGCCTTTCTCCATTCATCAGCTACAGTGGGCCTAGTAAACCCAAGTCCCATCATACCTCTCCCATGCCAATCTACTGATGGCTTCCACTTCCCTCTGAGTAAAATCCAAAGGGCTCTAACCATGGGTCCCATTGGCACTCCCTCTTCATCTTTGACTTCAACTCTAAAATCTTTGAGGGTGTATGTGTGTATACATAAATATATATTTCATTGCTTGCGTCTTTCTACTGGAATGTGAGCTCTATTAGAGTTAGAAATGTACCTCTTTTTCCCCAAAAAACCAATACCTTGCACATAATTGGTGCTCAACAAACACTCGATGAATTGTATAAATGGATATGCGTCAAGCATCTACTCCATGAACCGTTAGATGTGTAGTCTTGGACAATTTCCTACATCTCTGAGTTGTACTCGCCCCATCCAGCACCTTCCGGGCATGTGGTGGATGTTGAAAAAGTGTTTGCTCTGATTGTTTTCAGAGTGGTGAAATCATTTCCAAAAATTAACCCTTTGTGTGTCTTTCATGCAGAGGCGCCCACAGGACATTCGACAATTTAATTAAGCCAGGGGTGGTGGTGCCTTCCTGTGATTCCAGCACTCAGGAGGCTGAGGTAGGAGGATATTGAGTTTGAGACCAGCCTGGGCTACAGAGTGAGACCCTTCCTCAAAAAACAAAAACAAAAATAAAAAAAAAATAAGGTAATTAACAAAGATCTACTTATAGCTTATTGTGCACTAAACACCTGTCTAGGCACAAGAGATGTAACAACTAACAAAATGGATGAAGCCACCTCCCGCTGAGCAGTGCGGTGACTTGGACAGGGGGAGGGGCTGGAGTGGTGAGAAGGGGTTGGATTCTAGAGGTATTTTGAAGCCAGAGCCCACAGGACTTTCTGTGCATGTGAATGTAAAGGCTGAATGAAGACAGGAGCTCAGAAGAACGCTGTGCTGGCCCCAGTTGAGTGATGCTGCCATTTCCTGAGTGAGAAACAGGAAAGAGCAGCTCTGGTGAGGGTCTCCAGAGTCTGCCTTGGACATGTCAGATGCCTGTCTGGCATCTGAGTAAAGTGTTGTTCTCAGGGTGAATCTGCTTCTTGCAGTTCTGAGCCTGGATTAAGGACATGACTGGATGGAGAAGAGGAAGACCCAGGCCTGACACTCTCAGGCACTGCAGCATTAGAGCTGAGAACCAGCCACGCAGGCAGAGGAGGAGCAGTAGATGGAGATCAGCAAAGGGCTGAAGCCAACAGAAGAAAGTGGTCCAGAAAGGACAATGTGGTCTCCTGGGGCAAACGCCCTGGTTGGCTCTAGTAGAATGAAATCTGAAGATTGCTCCTGGATTTGACAGCATGGAAGTCGTTGGTGACCTGGATAAGATCAATTCCAAGAGTGGGGAGGCTGAAAGCCTAAATGGAATGTGTTCAAGAGAAGACAGGACTGAAAGCGGAGCCAGGGCGCTTCCGATCACTTTAAATCAATGTGTACAACAGGATGATGACAAATTTAAAGAAGGTTCTCTGGGTTGGGTCCAACACATGAAGTTGATTTAGAAGTCCCTATAGGGAGAGTTATACAAACCAAGATGT